CTCTACTCCTTCTTCATGTCTCTGAGAGAGGAGACAGAGACGGACATTTTTGTCTCAGCCATTTGCTGGGCGTATGCTAATACGCCTGCACAAAGCTGGTAGGGAGGGGTCTTGTTAGGATAGGCAGGAACTTAGTTTAGAACTGCAGGCAAGCAAGTGAAGCTGTGGTCAATCTTTAATAATTCTCTATCAGTGCTTAGTAAACATTTACCCATGTTGACTTTGTGTAAGACTCTGGTCTCTTCTGGGTCTGGGAGATACAAAGGAAGAGGCTGGCACTGCTTTCCAAGTGCTCTCAGTCTAGAGACGGAGAAGCAGTTCAACAGGCAGTTCCAGAATAGTGTAGGAATTCTGAGACAGAACGAAGCAGAGAGGGCTGTGAGAATGTACAGGAAGCAACTAATTCTAGCCCGAGGATTCAGAGAAGGCTTATGGAAAAAGTAATACTCAAACTGAATATTTGATTATTCAGAGGAGAGAGCATGAGGAGGGACCAAGGGAGGAAAATGTGAGCATAGGAAACATATACAAGCTACGAATGCATAATGTATGTTCTGGGTTCTAGACAAAAACTGTTGAGTATGGCTGAGGGTGGGATGAGAAAGAAAGGTTTGATGATGTAGATGGGCACTGGGAGCTATTAGGGAGGGACGTGCCATGTTCAGGTCTATATTTCAGAGGATAATGGATAACTGGGAAGCGAAGGAGGATGGTGGCATAGAAGAGAACTGAAAAGAAATGTGATGACAGGCAGAAAGGGTACTGCTAGTAGGATTCTTAAAAAGATTTATTATTTTTATTGGAAAGGCAGATTTACAGAGAGAAGGAAAGACAGAGGGAAAGATCCTCCATCTGCTGATTTACTCCCCATCTGAAGCCAGGAACTTCTTCCAGGTCCCCCACGTGAGTGCAGGATCCCAAGGCTTTGGGCCATCCTCCACTGCTTCCCCAGGCCACAAGTGGGGAGCTAGATGGGAAGTGGAGCAGCCAGGACACAAACCAGCACCCATATGGGATCCTGGCAGGTGCGAGGTGAGGATTTTGCCACCATGCCATTGCACTGGGCCTGCTAATTGGATTTATGACAAATCATATATGGGGGTGTGGAAGATAAGTCTCAGACTGACTGACTTGGGGGACTTTGCCAAGGAGCCATTCACTCAGGTAAGGAGTAAGGAGCAATGTCAGAGAAGAAACAAATGGTGTTTGCTTTTGATGATGGATCCAGATAAGGCCACACAGTAGACAGACTGTATTTGGGTCTGGTGTGCAAAGGAGCGTTTGAATTGTAATGTGGGTTACTATGAAAGTACACAGCAGCATCTGGACTGGTTAAAGGGAGAAGAACGTTTGGTTTCATTTTATCTTGTACTTAGCAATTAAAACATGAGTGAATTTTGTGTAGAGACAAAGAAATATAAAGAAAATTAGAGTCCATAATCCCACTGCCCCAATAATTTACCCTGCTAAAGGCAGGGATGATTATCTATAGTGTTTAAAAAAAAATACAAACAGTTCAGAAGAGTGTAAAAAAGGAAGCTGCCAGATCTTCCCCTGGTCTTCTGCTCCTGTAACCACTGTTAACAATTCTTATTTCCTTCTAGGGATTCTGTTTACCCCCAAAGGATGTGCCATCTGTAGTATTTAAGATGTCGACTAGGGCTGGCCATGTGGCACAGCTGGATAAACCTCTGCCTGTAATGCTGAAATCCCACATGGGTCCCAATCTGAGTCTTGGCTGCTCTGCTTCTGATCCAGCTCATTGCTAATGTGCCTGGGAAGATAGTGGAGGATGACCCAAAGGCAGATGTACCTTCTTGGGAGACCCAGAGGAAGCTCTGGGCTCCTGGCTTTGGCCTGGTCCAGTCCTGGCTGCTGTGACCATTTGGAGAATGAACTAGTAGATGGAGGATGTCTCTCTGTCTCTATTCCTCTCTCTGCAACTCAGCCTTTCAAATAAGTAAATAAGTAAATAAATAAATAAATAATGTCTACTAGATTGAGCAGACTAACCAACTGCCTTGCCAGCTTCATGAATCCTTTGTGAGCTCACTCAGGGAAAGCAGGGCTCCTGCAGTCCCAGGTCAGGTGTAAGTGCTGGTCCAGGCAGTTGCTCAGCTGAAAGTCACCAGATGAGTTGTTGCTGCATTTGGAAATTTATAGAACTATCCTGAAGGCTAAGGGCCTCATTCTACCACAGTTTTCAGGGTCTGCACTACATGCTTAGCGCTCTCTCTCTCCTCTATTTCTCTCTCTCTCTCTTTCTCTCTCTGTTGCAGGAAGACAAGGCAAGAAACTTGCCTTCTGGCCAAAGATCTTATTTCTGGGGGGAGAAATTGAGGTGTGGAATGATGTTATGATATGCCTCAAGCACACTGGCAGCGGGGTTAGCATTGGAACTTGTGTGTGTGTGTGTGTGTGTGTGTGTGTGTGAAGGGGGATGGGAATGTGGCACCTGGGTGTGTGTTGGAGGAGTGGGTGGGCTAACTCTCTTTACTATTTCTTCCTTACAGCCCTAAGAGTGGCACCCATCTGTACCTCCAAAGGCAAGACCTTCGGGATGTCTAGTGAGGTCCCTGGCGGAGCTAAGGCATGGCTGGTGGACCTGTGGCCTATTAAGAGGCAGCCAGGTTGGTACTGGAGGGAGAGCCCTGGACCCGGGGCCAGGAAACCAGGTTCTGGTGCCAGCCTTGCCCCACCCCACCCCACTGCTGCAGGCCAGTCACATCCTGTCTGAGTGGAAGCCAGCATCTATGAGCAACTTCATTGGCCTTGCTACCACAAATGCTCTCTAACAAGACAGCATATTTAATAAGTCATAGGAATAAGGTTGGATGTTTTTACTTCCAAAATGCTATTTTCTCCCCCCTTACCCCCCCTCAAGATTCAAGGGATGCCGCTTGGGTCTCTTTATTTGTGTAGAATCCTGTGTAGGAAGAGGCTTTGTATAGATTTTCAAAGCTGAGACCAAGGCCATAGAGCCCAGACCGAGAGAAGCAGTCAGCAGGACCCTTTGCAGGCCAGCCCAGCAGCAAGCAGTACATGTGAGGGTGTATTTGTGTGCGTGCAGATCCGGTGGTGCCAGGGCATCCTTCCCGAGCGCTGGACCCCCATTCTCACTGGACTCCGGAGGAAACAGGTTTAGACAGGGAAACTGGGCCGCTGGGTAGCCCTACTGCCATATGGGTAGCACTGTGCTCAGGCCCCGCTGAGAACCCGCAGTCGGTGGGGTGGGTCCAGGCAGCAGAAGAACCGAGGGCATGAGTAGTCTTCATGTCCCAGAGCTGTAAAGATCTCCGGGAGCTCTCTCAAAATCCAAGATGGTTGCCCCTACTCCCCAGGCAGTCTTCGGTAACGTGTATCTGTCTTTCAGTTCTTGCGGCCCACTGATCCTGGAACTCCGCCCGTGGAAGACACCTAGCACAAGAGCTAAATTCTACCTCAGAAATGGGCGGCGGGGAGGCTCGGGCCCCTGGCCCGCGTTCCCGCCCATCCGCTAGGCAGCCCGTACGGGGCTCCGAGAGCGGAGCTACCGGTCGGCACACGTGCCCGGTGCCCCAGGCCTGCTCCCTCCGCGCCAACAGGAACATCGCCGCTTCGGGCTGACGGCGGAGAAACTTGGGAGTCCGCCACAGGCGACGGATCCCGCCTTGGACCGCAGGGGGAGGCCGTGGCACCGCCGAGCTGAGCCCCGTTCGCGGGACATCCAGGAGAGCTGGCCCCGACTGATGGTGGCCCGCGATTCGGGCCCGACGGTGGCGGGCAGCGCACGGCTCGGGCCGCCGGTCGCCTGTCAAATCCTCCACAGAGCCCCGCGCCGGCCCCGCCCAGGTCCACTGCCCGCGAGGAGGCCCCGCCCTCGCGCCGTGATTGGCCTCGGCGGGGCGGCCGCAGCGAGCCAGTGGTCGGGGTCGCTGTCCGGCAGCCGTGGGCCCGCCCCGCCGCCCGGGGTGCTGCCCGCGGTACTCGGCTGTGGCGGCGGCGGCGCGGCGGGGGTTGCGGCGCCAGTGGAGGCGCGCCGAGCCGTGCGTCCCGCGAACTGTAGCGGCTGCGGCGAGGTGAGGTGAGAAGGGGCGCGGCTCGCGACGTGGGAGAGGGGACGGTGGCGCGCCGTGACCGAGGCGCGGGGCCGGCGTCCGTGGGACGCTCGTGTCGGGTTTGGACGGCGCCGGGCGCGCTGAAGGAGCTAGGCGAGTTTGGGGGTGGCGGGAGGCAGGCTCTCGCTCCCTCCGAGGTGATGGAAGCCAGAGTTGCGGCGGAGGTGCGCGGGTGGCCGGCGCGGGGCTCGCGGGGTTCGCGCGGCCGGGCGGGTGAGTGGCGCGGCACGTGCGGCCGAGCGTCTGCGGGGGCGTGTGCCGTGCGTGGGAGCGGGCTTTTTTTTTTGCGCGTCCCTGGACTTCTGCGGGTTGCGCGCGCCGGCGGGCTCCTTCGCTCGGATGTGCTGCGCTGGTTTGTGAGTGTCTCGGGTGCGCGCCTTGCGTTCGCGTCTGGGAGTGAGCACGCATCTTCGGATTGCGGCTTTCGCGGTATAGGCGAGTCGCAAGTGAATCTCACCCGGGGTCCCCTGTATTACTATTCGGCCGGCGGACTCATCCTGCAGCCCGGCCCCATCAGGGGCCACCCTCTCCGCGGCTTCGCCAGGGCCCTCCTTGCTCAGAGAACCCTCCTCACCGCCATCTCCCTGTCGCACTGGACGACACTGGACCAGCGCCTTCCACGCTGCAGGCCTCAGTTTCGCTATTCGTCTAAAGAGGGCTAGGTCTGCGTTGGAGGACGCAGCGGCTTCGCGGGGATGTGCGGCGGCGGCGGGTGACAGGGGTTCTCTGCGTGCCTGGGGAGGCAGGTGGGTTTGAGCTGCTGTCGCACTAGGCGCGGTGGTAGCTTAGCCCGGTCCAGGAGTCGTCGAGGGGGCGGTGACCTCGCGGGATCCGCTTCCCGCGTTCTGATGCGTCTGTGCTGTCTTCCGCAGGAACCCCGCGCGACCCCTCCGCTCCTGAGCCATGCACTGCGAGGTGGCCGAGGCACTCTCGGACAAGAGGCCCAAGGAGGCCCCCGGCGCGCCCGGCCACGGGCCCTCCGGCCTCGGCGCGCACATGGCCTTCAGGGTGACCGCGAACGGCGGCGCCTGTGGGGATGGTGGCCCGCGGGATCTGTTGTCCCGGCCGCCTGCACCACCGCCGCGTGCCCACGACCTCTTCCGGGCCCGGAGCCCCCGAGACTACAGCGCGTCCAAAGTCGCTGTCTCCGCCGCCGGGAAGGGTGAGTCCGGCCCTGCCTGTGCGCCTGGTCTACGGGTGCAGGGAGATTCGGGCCGCAGGGCTTTGGGGGAACTTGGTTCGGTGTTCATTTCTCTCTGGCCGTTTGGAACTCGCCTGTCAGTCTGTAACTGCCCTAGGAAGCAACTAATTTAAACTCAAGAAGCCTGTTCTGGGGGAAATGTGTGTGTACGGAGGGCTCAGATTACACAGTTTTGCTTCTGTATGTTTTTGATGAAAGTTGTGTCAAAATTTTATTACATATTCCAGTGAGTAACAACTCGTGTGTCAGGTCTCGCTTTCTGAGCTGCTGAAGGCCTACTTTGAAGTGTTCCAATCTTCTTAAATAACAAAAACCAGAGGTCCTTCTGCAAGAACTCCCGTTACCTTTTGGGACCTTAGTTTTCCGTTGTGTCAGGTGAGGAATTGATTATGACTTTGGGATTCCTGATGGAACGTTTTTCTGACTCTGTCCCGCCTGGGCCAAAGCTCTGACTTTAGAAATGAGTTTTCTGTTCTGGTGTTGCGGCATCTCAGGGATTGGTCACCAGTTGTCTTGCAGAACCTAGTTTTACCCAGTGGGGCTGGAGCTCTGTTAGCCACGGGCCCCAGCACAGAGCAGGGGCTCAGGGTGGGCCGTGCTGCAGGGGCTCTCATGAGTGTGTGCTCGTCCTGTTACTGTTAATGATTATTGAGTCATCATTTATACGTTTCATGTTGACAGATAATTAACCAGAAAGGGAGAATTTGTCAGGGTGCTACGCTTCTCCCTCCTCTCCTTCCACCGGTAGAAACCAAGGCTTTCAGTTTTGGAAAGCTCTTGCTTTTCCCAGGCAAGAGCTACTGCTTAGTGTGGGGCCAAGCTGTTGTTAGAAATGAGGATACCTTGTGGTACACAGCCCCGGCTCCCCAGTTCCAGCACTGGGGAGATGCAGTGAACCACAGCTGGGTTTTTTTTTTTTTCCTTGTTGTTTTTTTAAAGAAAACACCTGACTTTGTAAGGTAGTTATTTCTTGTTGTTTTGTTTGAAATGTCATCCCCTTGTTCAAGAGATAGAGATCTTTTCAAGAAGCAAAGATAGGACAGAAACTCCTGCAGTGGGACACATGGTGGAAAGGATTGGCTGTGCCGCCTCCGCTGAGCCAGACCCGGTCCTGCTGTGCCCTGCGTTTAAGGCTGTCATTGTCCCCAGCACCCTGATGAAGGACTGTCCCAAACACGGCCTTTGCTCCATGCTGTGCCGAGACCTGTGGAAGGGATGACTTTGGGGACCAGCTTCCCACTTCCCTTCCCCCGTACTGTAGTTATTTTTATCCCCATCTAACGCACGACTACGATAAGAGATCTTCAAAGTCAGGATTGTTTCTGGAGAAGGCAGAGAATAAAAGCATGGGACAAACTGTTGCTTCTTTGTATTTTAGCTGGGCTCCCTGGTTAAGCTTTTTTTTTTTTTTTGAAAAAAAAAAAGGATTTACTTATTTTTATTGGAAAGGCAGATATGCAGAGAGGAGGACAGAGAGAAAGATCTTCCGTCCACTGATTCAATCCCCAAGCAGCTGCAATGGCTGGAGCTGCACTGATCCAAAGTCAGGGGCCTGGAGCCTCTTCCAGGCCTCCCATGCAGATGCAGGGTCTCAAGGCTTTGGGCTTTCCTCGACTGTTTCCCCAGGCCACAAGCAGGGAGCTGGATGGGAAGTGGGGTTGCCAGGATTGGAACTGGCGCCCATATTGTATCTCGGTGTGTTCAAGGCGAGGACCTTAGCCACTAGGCTACCTTGCCGGCCCCCCTGGTTAAGCTTTGGCCAAGGGATATTGAAACTGTTTCCTTCAGAATTGTGAGGCTGGTGATGAGGTGGGAGGGAGAAGTAAAGATGAGCAAACTGAGACCTGAGAATGGGGAGGGTGGGATATGTTGCACGTTAGGGGTGCCGCAGAGCAGAGCTCTGGCATAAACTGCCTTGGGGAGAAGAAAGTGGCTTAGGAACCTGGTTTGGCAAGGTCTCTGACCCAGCCTTGATGTGACTGTGGGCAGGATCCTTGCAGTCAAGGCAGCATGCAGTGAGACAAAACTGGTTTTCTCCTGCAGACCTCTGAAAAATGGCACCTTCTTGCTGCTCTTGCCCCCACCAGACTGTTCCCTAAACTATGCAGCCCTTTGAATGTTTGGTGTCTAACTCTGGGCTTATTGGAAACAGACAAATAGAAATACCAATTGAAAAATATTTATCGACTGTGCTGGATACTAGAAGACCTTGCCCACGATCATCCACAGGAACTTGGATGGGGGAGGGAGTTAATTCATTCCTTTGGAGCCTGTGTTCCCTCGTCTGTCAGTTGATCCTAGACTTAGAAAGACATCAGGAGCATTGGGGATAAAGAAGAGTGTGATGTGTGCCGTCAGTGCCTGGTGGTTCTTGGGATTGTTCTTGTCAGTACCTGATGCCATTGACCTGTGGTTTTTCATTTTCACAAGAGGTGTGGAAGGGTGACTGGAACAGGAGTTGGGGAAAATGCTTTAGATTCTAAAAAGACAGAAGGGGGTCACTTTGATTAACTTGTGGAAGGCACCGCGTCAGGGTCAGTGATGCTCGCTTAGGGTTAGGAGAGAGGGAAAAAAGTTTGCTTTGTGGGATGTTGAAGGTGAAGGGAGTTGTTTGCGGTGCACTGGCAAGGGCAAGTTGAGAGGGGTGGCAGGTCCTTTGTGGCTACCACTGACCAGTGACCAGGGAGAAGTCAGTAGTGTTGTCTGACTTGGGGCCAGGTGGCAGATGATCTACCTCTGCCTTCTGCGTCAGACAGTCCCTGAACCGATGGAGTGAGTTCTTGAATCCAACAGTCTCCCCGTGAATGTTTTTGGGCCCTGTGTGTTTCCAAACTGAATCGAGAGGCACTGGAGATGGTACGACGTCACGGACTAACATTGTCATCATTTACAATAAGAATCATGATCTGTTTATGGCAGGGGCCCATTTATCCAGATTCCAAACAGCTGGAAAGGTCAAATTGCCAGATGCCGCAGTTTTTTTTTTTTTTCCTTATTATTAAACACCCAACATTCTGCTTTTGTAAGTCCTGACAAGGAAAGAAGGTAAACATCTGGGCTTTCTACGGGCCGGCAGCTCTGTGGTGATGGCCCTGCCAGCTTGCTCTCCGCTCACAGGGCAGTGAGTGTGTGACTGCACACACCCAGCAACTGTGTCCTGCCCACCTGGCGGGCTCCTCTGAGGAGGCACCTAGAGACTGGCCGTGATGAGAGTGGTTCCTGTTGTATAGATCAAGGTGTGAAGGGTCAGGGAGCTGCTCTGAGAGATGGATGGTAAATGGTAGTTTCCAAGGCTTCTGGCTCCAAGCACTTAGTACTGGCTCCACAACTTGTATCTTGCGCTCCTAGCAGAGATCTTCTGAATATTCCCAGAGCATTTACAAACAGTTTTTCTGTTGGTGATTTTCCTGTCCCCAACCTATGGTAATTGGTAAGTAGTATCTCTGCTGAAATCTTTGCCATTTGGCCAGTTGGTTCTGTTTGTCCTGAGTTCATAGAGCAAGCCAGACAGTGAAGTTACTGAGATTCACTGAATCTTTTCCATCTTTTATCCCGAAGAAAGGTTGATTAGATAGGGTAAATAGGAACACTGGTGTTCATAAAAGCAGTGCCTGTTATGGTGGCTGTAGATACCAGAATGTAGTCAAATCTTGTAACTGTTAAAAAAAAAAGCTGTTACTTCAACAACAACAACGGAAAGCAACTGTTGACTCTGTAGGCAGCTGTCGGTGTGGAGGGTAAGGTGTGATGGTTTGGTGGTGTTACCTGGTACTGTGTGGGCATCCGTCGGCGTGGAGGGTAAGGTGTGATGGTTTGGTGGTGTTACCTGGTACTGTGTGGGCATCCGTCGGCGTGGAGGGTAAGGTGTGATGGTTTGGTGGTGTTACCTGGTACTGTGTGGGCATCCGTCGGCGTGGAGGGTAAGGTGTGATGGTTTGGTGGTGTTACCTGGTACTGTGTGGGCATCCGTCGGCGTGGAGGGTAAGGTGTGATGGTTTGGTGGTGTTACCTGGTACTGTGTGGGCATCCGTCGGCGTGGAGGGTAAGGTGTGATGGTTTGGTGGTGTTACCTGGTGCTGCTTCCCCTCAGGAAGAAGTCACAGTGATGTTCGACGAGAGGCTTGGCAGAGGCCAGTGCATCTGTAATAGAAAGGTATGATTTAGTTTTAAAGCATTTTCCCCCTCTGGCTCTGGTGGGCAATTTGCTTGCATTTCATCCATTTTAAAGTGCTGGTCCTCTGATCCGGAAATAATCAGATCCAAATTTTTTTTTTTTTTGGTATTTGAGGTTTCCAATAAGGGGGAGAAAAACCTGCAGGCCAAATGCCGGGCTCCATGAGAGAGAGACAAGTATGTGTGTGGCTGTACAAATGAGACAGGAACATGTTGCATCTACACTCAGGAGAATTGTATATGGATCTGACACTTCTTTTATAGATGGGTAGCGGAAATATAATTCCCAAAGATTCCGTCAGAGGTTTGTGCAGCTAGAATGTCTCTTCTTTGCTGCCTCCTCAGCTCTCTAGAAGCTGCTGCAATTTGGGGGACAACATGGAAAGGGGCAGCACATGCCATCGTCCCTTCATGGGGACCTTGTTGTTTTGTGTAGCTTACCTGTGCTGTGTGGCTGGGTTCAGGCCCCAGGATCCTCTCAGCTGTGCAACCGATGGATGGGCAGTGTTGCCTTGCCTGTGGTTTAAAAATGCAAATATCTTTAAATGCCGTGGTTTTCTCACACTTCTCCTTCTGGAAAAACCAGAGCCCACCCCATCTCGAGTTATTCATCTCCCTGCGTCTCATTTGCGTGAGAAGCTAAGTGAGCCAACACACTTATTTTTACAGTGCGTTAAAATCCCATTACAAGCATAAGTGCCCAATGAATCATTTAAAAAATATATTCTTATGTTCTTTGTTCTGAATGTTGCATAATTATCATCATTTTCTTTGGTTTTATTTCGTTA